TACGACGATCACCAATGGCCGCAGCTTTCTCCATCTCTTTGCACTTTTCTACCCACCACTTCTCGCGGTCATTCCTCAGACTCTTGATGAGCTAGCGTTTAAGTGATTTGCGCGCTGTGTCGTATGTGGCATCCGGAGGAAGGGTTCTGCGGGCGTCCAGCAGGGCAGCCGAGGTCGACGATATCCATCGTTTGTATTTTGAGCTTGTGGCAGGGTCCGACGTTGTATTTATCGATATCTGCATAGCTTCCTTGATTTGCTTCCAGTGTTCATTGAGTCCTTCGGCTGGTGATTGAACTGACAGTCGATCGGAGAGCTCCGCTCCGAAGGCCGATTTGCATGAATGACTGACACTGTATCGCGGATATCCGTTGTCGGTGGGTTTTTTTTCCGGTTGTTTGCCAGGCGTGGGGAGAAAGTGACACGACCCACCTTCTTTGCGTTGATTGGTTCTTTTGTTGCATGGGGGTGTAGACCTGATCGATGTCAATGTGTCGGTTGACCGAGTTTTCTGATGAATGCCAAGCTTCCCGAAATTCTCTTGCGTGCTTGGAGCGCGTCTGATCGACGACTTTGATGTTTTCGAAATCGAAATTATGTTCTTCTGAGGTCCCCGTGGATTGAGATGAGTGAGAGCGCATCGTGTCTTCTGACGGTCAGTTTGTGTTCGTGTATTCGAGTTGCTAGTTTTCTCCCTGTTTGACCGATATAGTACTTGTTGCAATCCTTGCGGTTGATGCGGTAGGTCACATTTGCTTGATTTTTGTCTTACTGTTGCTTCTTGGTTTTCGATAAGATTCTCCTCAGGGTTGTCGTTGGTTTGTGGGCGACTTGAATGTTGTGTGGTTTCAGTATTCTCGTGGTCATTTCCGAAATGTTCTTCACAAACGGTAGGGTTATTCGCTTATTCGGTTGCCCGTTTGTCCTTTTGTGTTGCGAGAAGTTCGTGTTTGACAGGAACAATCCGTGGTCCGTGCAGAGTTGAAGTAGGCGATCTCCTTTGTCCGTCCGTTCGGCTGGGATTGCATGCGGTCCGCCAAGAAGCATTTCTGATTCGTCCAGGGATTCTATTTGGGCATGGAAGTCTCCAGCGACTATTACGAAGTCCGTTGATCGAACACTGGAGTAATTGAGAAAGATCCTTGTAGAATTCATCCTTGATTTCAGGTATACTGCAATCACTATGAGACTACCCCATCACTAGGGGACTACACCTTGAAGTGGTGTGATGGCTTGTG